GAATCGAACGAAAAATAAAAACGTAAACCGATCAACACCGATTCAATGGACAAATAACTAAAAAAAGCGAATCAAAATCGGTAGACAAATTGCATTTACTGTGAAAATTTCCATTAACGATAGGTATCTTGAAATTAGGATCAGGCAGTATTTTGACTTTTTGCTATTTTAAGTCCACACGTACCATATACTCACTCCCTGCAAACTGTTTTTGGGTACATTTGTGTCGGAATGTTTTTTTTTTTGTTTTTGAACACTGTTTCTCGAAACTGTTCGAAGGGAGGGGGGGAAGGGGGGAGGTAAATATTTGGAGGAGGCGAATATTACGTATGAAGAAATTGTCAATGCCTACAAACTGGAAACCCTTTCCATCACGTATTTGAGGTAAAAATAAAAAACATTGACTTCGTTTTTCTCGTGGCAAAACACGTCAACTTCTACGAGCTTTCGACCATCTTTACTGACCTGTTCTGTAGGTGTTCTTTTGTGTCTGTTGTCTGTACCTATTTCGTTCATTTGTTTTTGATAACAAGTCTTCTTTATTGCATCTATTCTATATGTTTGATAATTTGTGCATTTGTTTATTACCATCTTATTTATCTAAAGTCATTTTTTGACTTCGGACCGCCATTACGGCCATTAAAGGTGATCTGTACTGAATTCCGGTGTGATCGAACTGACGTGCGATTTATCGCATCAATTAAGTAAAAAAATTGGGCAGATTTTGAATTTTTAGCTGAACATAGAACGATATACCCTGCGCTCACACACAAGCTTAAACCATCATCAATCAGAAAAATGAGGGTAGGATTCTTCTTGGGGAAAAAACCTCGCAGCTGATGACGAAATCAACTAGGTACCGTGTCGAATGCGAGGTTTTTCCCCAAAAAGAATAATTTTTTCTTTTCTCAAAATTTTGCCAGTTTTTTGTTTGAAAATAATGATTCTTTTTCTTTATGCAAGGCTCATGCGCAGGGGCAGGGGCTATTGTCTATTTTTTATCTAAAAATTCACAATCTGCCCAGATTTTTGACTTCATTGATGCGATACATCGCACGCCATTTCGACCATGCCAGAATTCGAGACAAAGCACCTGCAGAGTCTGTGCTACCATGATAAGGGAAAATGCCGTATGAACATCCATACGTTGCCAAATTTCCCATCCTAAAATATTATTTTTAATGAAAAATTATGAATACTTAGTTCTACTTGAACCAGATACTTCAGATCGCATTGCGAAGAAAATTCTCTAATGAATTGGACGGAAAATATTCCCAAGTTTTCTCGAAAATACGTCTTTTATCAAAGGAAACTTGACAACTCACGACAGTTCATAAGGCTTTCTTCCTTTAGGCGTCAGTGTAGCCGCCGCCACCGCCGCCGCCGCCCCCCCCCCGCAACAACTTCTATAGTAGATACTTGAGTACCTTTATAGACACAGTATGGCCATTTCTGTTCCGGTTTTTCATTGGTCGCGAGCGAATAGGCTAACACGATGCTCTAAGGGCCGTAAATAAACAAACAAGATGGCCGACATCAGCAAGCAAGATTGAGGTTATGCACATCATACATCCTCCTGTGATAAAGGTGAAAGGCGATTTAACAATGTTTTCGTGTTTGCGAGTGTGTGTGTGTCCCTTTGACGAGCCGCGGGTTGCCACATCTGATCAATGAGTGGGAGAGAGATAGACGAAAAAAACGCGGTTTGTCAAAGCCAAGTGCGCTCCTTTGACGTGCCGCATCTGAGCAATGAGTGCAAGAGAGAGAAAGGACAAAACAGCGTATGGACCAATCCAAGTTGAGCCGTAGTCCCCGTTTACGGCCGTTCTTTCCAGGGCTCATGGTCGGAAAGCACTCCGGTGCTTTTTCGGGGCACCTGGATTCGGGCTCGCCACTACAACCGCGGACCGAATTACGAGGCCCAGCCTGTATTTTTCCGAGTGTGTGTGTGTGTCCCTTTGACGAGCCGCGGGTTGCCGCATCTGATCAATGAGTGGGAGAGAGATAGACGATAAAACGGCGGCTTGTCAAAGCCGAGTGTGCTCCTTTGACGTGCCGCATCTGAGCAATGAGTGCGAGAGAGAGAAAGGACAAAACAGCGTATGGTCCCATCCAAGTTGGGACGTAGTCCCCGTTTACGGCCGTTCTTTCCAGGGCTCATGGTCGGAAAGCACTCCGGTGCTTTTTCGGGGCACCCGGATTCGGGCTCGCCACTACCACCGCGGACCAAATTACGAGGCCCAGCCTGTATTTTTGCGAGTGTGTGTGTGTGTCCCTTTGACGAGCCGCGGGTTGCCGCATCTGATCAATGAGTGGGAGAGAGATAGACGATAAAACGGCGGCTTGTCAAAGCCGAGTGTGCTCCTTTGACGTGCCGCATCTGAGCAATGAGTGCGAGAGAGAGAAAGGACAAAATAGCGTATGGACCAATCCAAGTTGAGCCGTAGTCCCTGTTTACGGCCGTTCTTCCCAGGGCTCATGCTCAGAAAGCACTCTGGTGTTTTTTCGGGGCACCCGGATTCGGGCTCGCCACTACCACCGCGGACCAAATTACGAGGCCCAGCATGTATTTTTCTTTTTTTCGTGTGTTATTCGTAGATATGCTAGTTTAAATTGTTACTGCCGTATAATTGAAATTTTTGTCTTTAGCTTCTTATCGATGTTACGGTGAGTCGCCATCTTGTTTGTTTATATACGGCCCTAAGAGCATCATGAAGTCTAAAAACTCGTTGACCAATCAAAAAGCGGAACAGTTTTCCCGTAGTAAAAAGATACGAATGACCATACTCTGTCTATAAAGGTACTCTAGTAGATACCTACAGATTTATTTCGATTCAAGCAGAATTAATTTGTTCCGAATGGAAGCTTTTATTTGGGGGGGGGGAGGGAGTTAACATTTTTATTTATGGGAATTTGTCATTATTCTCCTTCAAACTATCCATTCGTCATAAGATACTGTTGCAAAAAGAGAGCGTGCGCAACAAAACGGTCAAAGTTGGTCAAATGGGTCGAATCTAAAGGGACTCTAGGCAGTAGGTCAAATGGCACCGCCCGTATTCCGGACTTTTCCGGATGTTCCGGAATGAAACGCGTCGACTCTAGCGCTGTCAACCTGTCGACGGTCGTTGATGGTCAACTCTGCATCTAATAACCTAGAAGTTTATTATCGGTCCCCATCCCTCTCTGTTTTTTCTGAGTTTTAGACTTTATATCTGGTTTTTAAGTTCATTGAGAGTCATTTTACACAATTATTTACGAATATTAGCATTCAATTCTTCGGAAGTGTGCAGATATTTCTGAATTTAGTCTCTATATTTGTAACAGGTTCATTGCCAATAATTAGGTGCTATCACTGAAACTCATAATTAACTCTACATTTGTGTCCCTCAGCTTTCTCACTGTGTCAAGTTCTAATTTTTCTATTCGCTGCCTTATCCTTATCATCATTAGATTTCTCCTGACTCTAATTATATTGCTATTTTGCCATCCAACTTGCACAGTCAACTTTTACTCAGTATTTCGACGACTGTCCCTGCTTGATATTGTTCTGGGAAACATAATGTCCTCTGTTTGCTCAAGGTAACCATTCATTCGCTCTACTTTTCAATTTTGACACCTCCAGATGATCAAAGAACCAAGCTTACTCATTATGTCTCAAGCTGCTCACAACATGTACCCACTGTGAAACTTATCGTCGACTGCAGGCACTGATAACGTCACAAGGAATACTCTTGAGCTTCTGGAGCAAACAACTGCTTCTATCATGCCTTAGGAATTTTCTTTCAGCTTATCGTATCATTCCATTAGAATAGTCAAGCTTTGTGGTTAATAAGTCTTGTTCTGTTGTCCACACTCCCATACCTTTTCAATAGCACACCTGTCGATCATGAAGTGCAACTCATATTAATGACATCCAGGAATATTTTACCATACATTATCATCTTCTCCTGTCCAGACTCTAAGGCAGAAAGGCATGGCTGTAGGAGCTTTGCTTCAACTCTCAGGCCTGGATCAATAGAAGCTAGGGCTCTTACAACTGGATTTCTCAATCTCTGAGTCTGGAACTATGTATCAACGATGATACTACGAGACCTCGTATCTTGTTTGTTGTGTTGAAAAATCCCCGCTCCCATTTTATTTTTTTGAAGGATAACAAATCAGTATCATTTCTTGAAATTTTCGCTGATTTTTCGTGGCATGGAGAGATTAAAACACTGATCTTTTCATGAATGTTGAGTAGTTTTCTTTTTAAAAAATAAAGTATGACCGGGAGTCTACAACGTCATAAATGGAGATGTGAGGTCTGGTAGTTTCTCCATCTATATCTTTCCAGCCCATAATTTTAGAGTTTAGAGCGGTATCTTCATTTTTTTTAACTCTTTGAAGGGCAATAAATTTTTTTTCTTACTCATTCAATTTACCAAGTGATGCGTCTCGAAAGTATCTCTTGCACTCAATACTTAGGCAACGAACCTTAAGCTGATTAAAAGTAGACAGCTCATTGTGTGGTGCCCTGGTCCAGTTTCGATAGTTTTTGTCAACATACAATCATTAGTGGTACTCTCCAGCTAAAAATGGAATTTGTTCCGTCATGTGAAGGATTTTCAGAAATATTTTATTTTCAAGGTGCGCATTTTAATGATGAGCCCTTTCGCCATTGATACATGTTTTTCTCACCACCAAGACGAAAAGTTTGGCAGGTTTTCTCATGATTTATCATCATCATTGAACCACAAGAATGCGCTTCTTTTCTTTTTTATAAAAGTAGCAGCTCACTCAAGATCCACTGAGTTTTGCTATCATTGTACCATGTGTTGTGTTTTTGTTGATAATAATTTTTTCGATGCCACCCACTAGCCCTTTTTGGATGTAATATATTTAACATAATTTACTATCAAGGGAACCAGTTCTTTTCAATTTGATTTTTCTGGTGGAAGCATTCTACTATTTTCATGATGTTTGTATTACCGCATTTCATATTTCATTATTGTTTGTTTCAGGTTGCAGGACAAGGCCTTGGAATCATGATAATTGAGGGTAAACATGCAGAGGTAGGACAAGGAATCTTCATTTCCGATATTCAAGAAGGCAGTGCTGCAGAGCAGGTGATTTTTCAATGATACATAATTTTTTTGCAGGTGTTAAGGGTGTCTTGAAACAATTGCTCTTTTGAAGGAAGGAGTTTGTCCATTCAAAATCAACTCCGTTGAGACTTGCCTTATGAATTATGATTTCTTGTTTACGCTGTGAAAGGTGATGGGTCAAAGTGATGTTTAGATCTGGAATTTATTTTAAGGCGATGTAAAGTGGATGTTTTAAATACCTGCGGTAGGGGGAGGGGAGAGAAGAAATTTGCTGTTTATCATCAGAATTATTTTTATTTCTCATTACCTCATGAGGAAAAACCACAGGTTTCTTGCACATATAGAGGAAAAAAGAATGTTGAATTAATGTCCTAATATTTTGAAAATCTGTTTGAGAACTTTCCACCGCTCCTCTGCTATAGCTGTGAATGTCACATATTTGCAATGGGTTTATAAAAAAAAAATCAGTTGCTGTGTTTAAAGAATCACTTAGATTTTTCCCAAATTTTTAACGCCTTGGGTCGTTCATACATTATTCTTTTATTTTCTTTATGGTATAAACTTACTTGAGATATTGCCGGTGAAAGAATGTAGAAATCGTGAAAAAAAAGTTGCGAAATAACTACCTTTAGATTTAGACTTAGGTTGTGTTATGCTGCAAATTTGAATTGCATTACAGTCTCTTTGCGCCCCTGCCTAAGTTGTGTTGCTAGGCATAACATACGTTCTTTATGCAGAACTTCTAATGTACCTAGATAAATTTTTTTTGTTTCAATATGTCTGATTGAGTCAAAGATCATGTCTCTAGCATGGTCAGTTTTAAAATGTCAGCCTCAGTTGGCCTATTTTTATAACAACACATGTGCATACCATTACAACACAAGTCATGTAACATTAAATTTTTGCATTTCTAAGTGTCATGCCATATGTCCTCAACTGTTTAATTAGGAAGTTAGCCTACTCTGCAATTCATTAAGCGGAAGAAATTAGGAGGCTTTCATGAGTAAGGCTGTTGTTTCTGAAGCTACTCCATTCAAGCCACTTGAGTACACAGCAGAATGAGAATGTGGCAGTTATGGCTACCGTGTCTCCTGTGGCGGTAGAGTTTTGGCCTGTAATCTTTTGCCTGTCAAATTCCTTCGTCATCTCTCTGGATCAAGTGAATTTCTCATTGTTCCTGTTTATTTTATTTCCAGGCTGGTCTCATTGTTGGAGATATGATTCTAGCTGTAAACAAGGATACAATTCTTGGAAACAATTATGACTCGGTAAGGCATCATTCTTGCTCTTTTTTTTTCAACTCTTTTCTCCTCATTCATTTGTCTGGAAAGAAAATATTTAAGTCATCTGTGTATTTTCGATTTAGTTCTCCAGGTTCATAGGAAAGAACAAATAATTTGAGAAGAATGCCTCTTTTGATAATCGCCGCTCTTTTTTTTTACATTGAAACTTATATATTTTACCATCATCTGGGCTCAGTGTGTATGAATAATAAGCTGTATGAATGCACCATTTAAGAATTTAAAAATGTATATCTTGGATTGCAAAGTTGCAAGTTTCATAAAATTTTCAACTTTTTTAAGGTAAAGTTTATCAAAATATTTTCAGATCTATCATTCCACTTTCTAAATAGTTATTTTCTCTATTTAACCTCTCAAAGAAAAGAATGTTATCAGCAGTAAAAAAATTAAATTTGCTTGGGTCAGGTTTTCTTCTAAAATATGTGAGTAGTTAGCCTTTGGTGCATGAATGTCTGTACCATGCAATGCTCGATTTATGACATCCATCAATTCATCTTCAATTGCTATGATCTGTCAAGTTAGCTATCCAATATTCGTCAAGCCATGAAAAGATTGTGTATAGGCTTTTTAGAACTAAAAAATGAAAACATGTTCTCTTATAAATTATTAGTAAAATGCTTTTTTTCCAAATCATCAACACTGGGCACAACACAATCTGCCTGTATGTTTTTATAGAAATTAATTCGTGCTAAATGCAAAGGAACAGTCATTATTATTTTCCTCTTTTAAAAAAGCAGACAAACAAAAGATTAAATTCGGGAAGAAATTTTTCATCTACATATTACTATATTACCCTTTTTTAAAAATTTTTAGGCGGCATCTTTATTGAAGAAAACGGAAGGTGTTGTCACGTTAGTTGTTTGCAACCCACAAAAAGCAAAGGAAGATGAAAAGAAGGCTGGCGGTGACAAACCCAAGGAGCCGGAAAAACCAAGTCTGTATCTTTCCATCTTATTGCATAGTTTTATCTCACAACTGTTTGATTTTTCCGTTTTAAGTCTGCCTGTTATGCCTTTGAATCAGCATCTCTTTTTGTTGCTTTAATGCAATCTAATATCTGGTGTACTGGGGTACTGTTATGCTGAGGATTAAAGCCTTGTGGGCAGTCAAACGTTGCCCTATTTCTTCTCACAAAATATTCAGTTTGAAGGAAACAGATAGAAGTTCTTCCTAAAATGATAAGATCTTGAAGATACAAGTATCCCTTGAGATTTTCTTATAAAAGTGCTCCCAAGGTTTTCAGAGATTTTAGATGATCACAGACTCTTAACAAAATTCATGAGGTTGTGTGGCACATCAATGCTAGCTTTCAAGAAAATAGTAAGTTTTTAAATAGTTACAATGGATTCTTATTCTTACTTTGCCAACGGTCCCATATTCAAAGGCAACTTTAATTGAAACTTCATACTTACCAGAAAAACTTTTGAACGAGACCAAGTAAAAATTGGTTCTTCCATTACACATTTCAACACAACATTTTCAACCTCAAATATTTTAATTTTAATGTTGGGTTATAGTAATTTGCTGTGTTTTTGTGTGTATGTTATACTTTGTTCTGGTTTGAAACGCAGTGCGTCAGTTAAGCTTTCAGGCTTTAGTTTGTTTGTTTCTTTCTCTCAATAATTGTTCTTTTCAGTAACCATATTTCTACTGCCACTGGACATTATTTAAAATTCCACCCTTAGTCATTCACCATCATATGGTTTTTGGCGGTTTCTCTACTTTTAGTATTTTTATCTTTTTTTTGTGTTAGTATGCGTCTGTTCTTTTTTCTTGTTTATCTGTGTTCAATGATAAACAACTCTGTTATTTCATTCACGAAATAGAGTTCTTGTTAGGGACAGAGTTTCTCAGTTCTACCAACTAATCCTTTGCAACAATTGTGAGAGCCAGTAGATAGTCAGTAAGGCCAGTAGTTTTCTCTTAAATCCTCAAGCTCAAAAGAAACCCTTTAGGTAAAGTTGGATACACTTTGCAATATTGCCAATCTTTGTTGAGCCTCTAAGTGTTAATACATCAATGATTAGCTCTCAGAGCAATCTTGCCAACATATTCATTTCTATCTCTGTGTAAAGAATTTGATAGAAAGTTGGGATAGACTCTCCTGTGTGATGATTCTCTGTTATGGCTTCAACTTTGAGAGACTTTCAGGAGTTTTAGAGTTGATTTTAGACCTAACCATGAAGTAGTACTTTTTTCTCCTCGGAAATTTTATACTGGGTTGGTTGGTATAATTGAAAAATCCTGACTCTAGTCAGGACTCTATTGTATTTCATAACACATTGAAGCAATGGTATATTCTTCCGTTTCTTGTATCTGTGTTTATTTTGGAAGATTTCATGACACAGTCAAGTTTGGCTTTCAATTTTTTTTGTGATAGTAATATTTATATCTGGAGAGCTGCCGATTATTCAAGTTTCATTCAGTGTTTAGGCCTGTTTTCTGTCTCGTTATCATAATTTGACTTTCTCGTGTTTTGTTTTGTCCTACTTTTGCTTATCATTTGGATAATTTGAATCAATTCGTGCATGTTTTTCATGTGAGTATTTGTAGAATTCAATTAACCCAGCACCTTATCCAACAGCTTCAATTCAATTTAATATCCTCTAAAAGTAAAGTCAAAACTATACTCGTGCATAGCCTTTTGCAAATAGCAAATATTCTGTGTTTTTGTATGGCAAAATTTTCATTTTAGAGCAAACCGAAAAATAGTTTCTCTTAGAGCAAATTGATGAAAAGTTACCCGTGAGCATTTTAGCTCCACTATGAAATTCTAAGATTCTAAGAAGAAAATTCCAATTTTTTGTATAATAACCGTTGAAATTAAAGTTAGCAGTTCAAAAATTTGATTTAATGAAAAGAGTTTGCCAGAATTAATCCGTAATTTTTAAGGTTCGAAGTTGTTCTTAATCCGTCATTCTTGGGGCTCAAAATTGTTGGATCAAACTGAAATTTGCCCTTATAATACTACTAATGTCGCTCGCCCTATGGGAGGCTTTTTATTAGAAAATAACTGGTAGTGTGTTATTTTCCTATCTCAATGCATGCAACAATTCTTAGTCAGTTTATGTCTGCTTTTGCACCTTTTTCAAGATAGTGAAATAAGGTAGTAGCATTAGGAATGTTCAACGAAACCCTTGCTGGTAAGCTATTGGTAGAGTCTGTCTTTTGAAATCTCACTAAACTCGGATAAGGCTACTATTGATCAAAATGCAACACCTCATTGGAACTGCAGGAGGTCCGTGTCAAAACACTGTCGTTATGTACGTCTGTGTAGCCGCTCAGTATTGATGAATGCCCTCTTATTGTCATCTCTTTTTTATGGAACCATCCGATAGCTTACCAAAAACTGGCAGGGCAACTCTGAGAAGCACAAAATAATTGTTAAAACTGCTGGGTTTTTTTTTATTATTTTTTTTTTATTTTTATTTTTTGTTTATCAATTCTGTTTTTCCATCCACACTGACGAAAGTAATCAACAGGGGACATCTTTTTTTGCTGAAATCAATTGCTAGCACTTAAATAGCTAGCACTGAAAGTTAAATTACGATTTTTCTTTTTGGGCCAATTGCAGTGCATAATTGTCGATTTATGTAAAATGAGAAACTATATTTCTTCTAAAACAAATAATTTCCAGCTCTTTTCGGTCTCATTATATTTCAAGTGGTCAATTGCAATACTGTTTGTTTTATGTAAGTTGACTTTTTCTCTAATAATCTGTGTTGAAAATTTTGAAAAAAAAAAAATTCTATTTTGTTGTTGCTGCATGCAGTGTTTTTGAAATTTTTGAGGTATAATGAAAAAATCCTAACTTTTTTTAAATTGAGTTTTCGTGAAAATGTTTTTCACAAATTTTAGCCACCCATTTTCTATCTTGCCTCTGCAGCAAAAGCACAGAATGTAGAGAAAATGTCCAATCTCATACTTTGCCCACTTCACATGCTGAAAATGAGGTTTTTACTGTCAGCAGGACTATCCTTATTTACTATTTTTTTTCTTTTAAAATTAATGTGTAAATTTTTGATGATATGTAACTGAATTTTTTCGTTGACAGGACTGCATCTGAAACCTATTGCTCCGTCCTCTGAAATGTCCACTGCACGATTATCACCCTCGCCTTCGGGAAAAATTCATGCTGGAACAGAGGAACCGCCTGCTGACCCAGCAACAGCCCCGATCAAGCCGGGTGCTGAATCAGTGATAGAAATTAATAAGGACAAAATGGGACTAGGTTTGAGTATTGTCGGTGGCTCTGACACTCTATTGGTAAGTTCCATTCTCTTTGTCTATGTGTCCATTCAAAGAGGCAGAACTTGTATGAAAATTACGAATTTCTATTCATGTTAACGTATGAAGTCAAGGTGGTTTTTTGGGGGATCCAATTACTCAGGTCTGAATCAAAAATACGCTAGGCGTGTAATATACAGAGTTTCTGATGGTCTGGAAAACCTTGAAAGTCCTAAGGCAACCTGGAAAAGTCCTGACTGAATTTTGGGAGCAGAGATAAGCGTTTCAGGGTATAGTAAAAAAAGTCAAAGGATCCGAAAGTGAAGAAATTATGGGCGCTTTGAAGGTACCTTAATATGTCATTTTTAATGCACAAATGTCTGAAATGGTAAAATCCAAAAATGAAAGTGTTTTATCTCTGTCACTCTCAAATATTCCAGTAAATTGAGATTTTTCCCTACAAAAGTGGGGTTTTTTTTTATTTTTATTTTTTTATTCAATCTGTCTTTTCTTAGTTGCTCTAAATTTCATAATGATTAAACTTTAGTGATGTCTCCTCAAACATGATTCAAACCAGAAGAATATTGTCCTCATCTTCACCCATAACTTGCATTGGATACTAACCATTTTTCAATGAGTCTATTTTAGCTAACTTATCATTATTTTCTGTGTTTCCCAGGGTGCTATAATTATTCACGAAGTTTATCCGGACGGTGCTGCAGCGAAAGACGGTAGATTATTACCAGGCGACGTAATCTTAGAATGTAATAGCGAAGACTTTAGAAATATAACCCATAGCAAAGCTCTAGCAGCCTTAAGACAAACTCCTGCCAAAGTAAGTCTTCACAGTCACCAGGTTTAGATTTTATTTCTAGACAACTCTTAGTTTTAACGGATCTTCGGAGCTCTAATTGATCTTTTAAATTCACTGGTATTAATTTTATCAGCATGAAGCAATATTTTTAAAATCATATCTAAAATATCTAGAATATGTGCCTCTCATTCTAATGATTTTAAAAAAGATGACGTTTCTGTTGTTTGGATCTGAACTCCCCAAGGTTCTACAAAGAATTCGATCACTCGAAGTGTTGAAAGGCAAAAATGTGTGAAATTATATAGTATCTTTATTCTTTAGTATCACTATTGTATTCTCTCATGATGTCGGACCCAAACTTGAGATTCTGTGAAGACCACCGATCACGGGTCGTAGATCACAAAAATATATGCCATTCAAATTCATGTGATTATATATATGTATTCATGTATGTATGTATTTCCGCCTCCTAAAGATTTTTCCATTTTTGAGTAGTTATATTTTTCTTATGTTGTAAGATATTGTGACCAATTTTTTTTCCATTTCGTAGAGCCTCATTAGAGCTACTTTTCTGCCAAAAAAAAGTATGTATTTTGATATTTTTAAAATTCTCTCTGTAATTCTGAATTATCCTTGTTGTCTGCGGCAGGTGAAAATGACTGTTCTAAGGGACGATGTTGCGAAAGAAGAAGACAAGTTAGAAATAATAGACGTTGAACTAAACAAAAAGCCTGGAAAAGGTCTAGGTTTATCGATAGTTGGCAGGAAAAATGGTCCAGGCATTTTTATATCTGAAGTGGTTAGTATTTTTCTTTTATTTTAAATTCCAGCGCAAGATGAAATTGATTTTTATATTTAAATTGAAAAAAATAATACATTTTAATTTTTATCTTTTTTCACTTTCCGCATTCATCTATCATGATTTTTCTTATTGCCTTGATGTCGCACAGGTTTAGGGCGTGTCTCATTGAAGTCTATTTCAGAGTATCAACTAGATTTTTGTTGTTATAACTCTTTCTTCACGATTTTTTTGAGGGAGCTTTCAGTGACCTTTGCTCAGTCAAAAGCATCCATCCTGCGCTCAAAGTAGACCTAAAAACTGATTCACTGGTTATCTTCAAAGATCGTTGGCTCGTCGTTCTTTGAAAGGAAACAGTTCTGAATGAGCCAGTTTGTGGGCTGTAGCTTGTGCATGGGAAGTGAGCAGAAGTTTTTGGTAATTCTTGTTGGAGATTCGAAAAATAAGTGAAAAAAAACATTTAAATTGTTCAAGTTTTTTTTTAAAAGTTAAAGAAATACTGATAAGAAAAACAAATCTCAGGTTACCTCCTTCTTTTAATGGCTTTCATGACATCACTTCAAGTTCTTTGACTCTTGAAATGTTCTTATTTGAACAATGTCTATATTGTCAAAATTTGATTGTGTGGAAAGAGTTTTTCAGTCCATTTTCCATGTTATACAAGGAAAACCTGACCTTTTTTCAGTATTATTGCGCTTTTTCAAATAATAAAAACATTATCTTCTTTATAACCACTTTCTTTCAATTATTGTAGGTCTCAGGGGGAGCGGCAAATGTGGATGGTCGGTTGATGAAAGGCGACCAAATCCTGTCGGTGAATGGGCGCGACCTGAAGACTGCGTCTCAAGAAGAAGCTGCTGCTGTACTGAAGACAACCTCAGGCAAAGTTCAAATCAAATTAGGCCGTCGGAAAGCCAAACTCAGCGCTGCCACGTCAGACAAGTAAGTTTTTTTACCGATTCTTTGAGCTATTGTTAAGTTAGTGTGTAAAAGTTGTTGATGTGATATTTATGGGGTGCATAATGGAGTTCCACTAGATATGATGCAATCACAAAGTAAGACAGTGGAAATTATTGCAATAATGCAATTAATCAACTTACCTCGTGTTCTCCCTCGCATTGCTTTCAACTTGAACACTGGTTGTTCAATGATTGTCTGTGACAAATTATTTAAGAATTAGTATATTACCTATTTTGACCAAACCTATACAATAAAGTATGGATACTATCGATTTAAGAATGTGAAAAGTTTATAATACCAAGAAAATTGTAGTAAATCCTGTGTTAGTGTCGTTAAAGGTGACACCATTCCAGCCTGCATGTCGAATCAAAACTTCAAAATATTTTATCTTCTAGTTCGTGACATTGAAAGAAAATGGCTTATAGTGCCAGGTCCACCGACCAATAGTTGGAACCAAAATTTCACGTCAATTTTAAGGTGTTCAGAAACTTTCCTCCTCTGCATGCAATTATATGTGCCTAATTTTCACAAAATGTCACTGTTAACAGTCAAAGCAATCTTAATGCCCAAAAAATTAAAATTTGAGGTATTCATGCACAGTTACGATTTACACACAGACATTTATGTTCGAAAAATCTCGAAACGAACGGAAGTCACGAAGGTTCAAATTTGCAAATTTAGACTGAAGTAGAGACCATTTTAATTCGTAAGTTTGCTATTTCCAGTCTCATTTTTGGTAAATTTCATTGTATTTTAAAGCCTTTTATCTGCACAATAATGATCAACTTCTTACAATTTTATTCTGCAAGTCATCAGAAGAAGCTTTCTGATCAGAACTCCAACGCCAATTTTTTTACCCATTTTGCAAAAGATGGCTCTCTGTGCACTAAGATTCCTTTTCCTGTGGACAGTTGCAAATGTTACACACTGTATGCTCAAGCAGATAGGACGCGCACAAAGAGAGGTTGCAGTTTACATTTTAATAAACAATTAATTGTATGAACGCAAGGTTCTTCAAGTCAGTGTAATCTGCTAAGAACAGAAGAAAAATGGAAAGGTCCTCAATTGTACCTACTTCTAGGTATCTGTGAATTACTTTACTTTAAAAATGGAAAATACTGAGTGAGCTGATAAGGAGATGTTTACATGGGAAATGATGTCACTTTATGCGCTCTTTGTCGTCATTCAGATCATTCTCTCTCGCCTCTTTTCTCTCAAAAAATCACAAGAAACACCATCAACTAAGCTGAATAAGCACTTTCATGCAAAGCGAAGAATTCGTCTGTACAAATTATTAATTTGTGTTTCATGAAATTCTTGTTTTAGAAATTGTAGGCCAGTGAACTAACAGGCAAAATTAACTGTAAAGCAAGACTTATCTGCCAAAGCATATAGTTTAGGTGGTGTTAGTTGTTTCTATTTTTCCAGAGCCTTAACATTTCAATTATATACTAACAATGAAACAGCTAGTTTTTTCTTAGGGATCACAGATAAAGCTCACAAACTTTAAAAGTGATCCTTCATGAGCGTAAATGTACTGCTGGTAGACCTTCATTAACGTTTAATTCCTTCTGTGCCTGTCTCTTTTGCTCTTCAATTTCTAGTTTAATCCCTCAATCCTCCCCCTCCTCTTTTTAATGCTTCGCTCAATCGCTTATCTCTCTTTGATGCCTAATTTATGCGTTGAATGCATGCACTATCTCCATAACTTACAAAGATTTCTATCTTAGAACGACTGCGTGTTTATTTTCCAAGTTTCTCATCTTGGTTGAAAAAGTGTATCAGCTTCAGTTTTTCTTTGAGATCGGATTTTTGTGGGAGAATATCCCTCATAGACTTTCGATTCATCTCGCGATAGGCATCTAAAACTTTTCTGAATTTGGCTTTTTCTGGTACAATAAATTAGATTCCTGTCAATTTTTCCGAGAGGAACACACAGAAATTTTCTCTCCACTGCTACCATGTGTCTCATAAAAATTGTTGTTTGAAACATATTTTTGTCAATTTTTTCCAATCCCACTTCAATCCATCCGTTAGTGCGAAAGTGTTTGTGAGCAAGTGTAAAAAGCAGATTTTCAGGAAAGTCGAAAATGTTGCAAACATGCATTTTGAATCAAGATGGACCCAATGATATTGATGATGTGAACAAATTCCCCTAAAATTTCTTACAAACGGCCTGCAATTTTCTAATTTTTATCAAAAATTATTTTTGTGAAAGGGAAATGCACCGCTGAAAAGGCGGTAGCATTGGACTTCAGCTCTTTTCCCATCAGCGAGATTTGTTTTCCGTTCATGTGATGACATCATTTCCACAAACCATACCATGACAGTAGTTTTTTTGCTCTTTTCAAAATCAGGCAAGCAGTTCTGGTTTAAAATAAAATAGAATCTTCAGCAGTTGTTTTGTTTTTGAGAATTCCCATACTATGTGAAGCAACGTTTAGGTAAATATCTCACTTGATATGTAAATTGCAGTGTTCAAATTTTGAAAACTAATCCATGTTGAATCATAATTTGACCGTTGCCTACTCCATGACAGTATAGAGATGATCAAGCACTTTGTATCATCAATGAATCACCAGAGGAGATGCGAATTTTAACAGTTTGATAAATGTCTTCTGGTCAAAATTACCTGTAGAAAACGATTTCTGCAGCGAAAATTGTTGGAAGTAACTCCTAACTGAGATACTAATGTTGTTTGATTCAGAATTTCAAATTTCCCCTCTCTTGAAAAAACCATAATCTACTGGAGTTAATTGAAAAGCTTCATCTTGGTATCGTCAAGTATTTATTATCGTTAAGTATTATTTTATTATTTTTACTTCAGTTAAATCGCACACTAAATGTTCATGTGATGGTTTTTGCGCTACGGACGTAAATTAACCTCAATCTCAGCGCTGCGGCTCAGCTGTTACACATAGTCCACCTTTATTACCAATAAAAAATTTAGCACTTCCATCAAAGTTCAGGAAAAACTTCTAAGCTTTCCATTAACATAAGGCAGCTTTGTGCTTGTTTGAAGCCGTCATCATGACTATTGCGTTTTTTAGGCAGTTTATTTATCTGAAGTCGTATGAAATCCAACATTTTAACCTCTCTTGTCAAGATCGTGATACAAATAATATTAAGAGGCTTTGAGTGTGTTTGGTTTTGGTTGACATTATTTTTTTCATCTTGTTTTTCCTGTTTTCATTTATCTCCGTTCTTATTTTATTTCATTGTTTTTTGAGTTGATTTGTTAACTTCGTTTTAGATCTGTGGATCAAAATGAAGAGGAGTCATGTGATAGTGACGTTTCAAAATCTAACCACCTCAATTGCCTGGTAACGACGAGTCGTAAATCAAGGAGAAAAATGTTTTGGTCCTTCCGCCGAAAGTGCAAAAAAATGATTGCCAAGTAGTTTCTTTTATTTTGTATCAACAAATCTGTGCCTTGTGATTATACCAGTGTTTTATTTGCGTTGTAAATCAAGACCTTTCAAAACCTGGAGCCTAAATAGGCACTGGACTGAATGTAATTCAGTTGCGTTTGTTGTTAGAAGTGAGTGTTATTCGTCAATACTGTTATTATTTTTGTAATGGAGATTTTGAGCATAGACAAAAGGCAAGATTTAAGCTTTACTGGAAGAATATTTTCTTCATTAGTTTGATCGTTGATATTAAAAATCCCAGACAGTCTGTTTTCTCAACTTCTGTTGTCTTTTCAGCATTCTTTCTTCTCATTGTTATCTTGATGAATCTCTGTTCTGTTGCCAATGCAATATTCGCTCTGCTCCTTTTTTTTTCTCTTTTTTTCGTTGCATCACAAGGCACATGATTAGGTGTAGTTTATCAGACATATCATGAGGGGCCATCCATAAATTAATGAATGCTTCAGGTAGTAGGAGATTGTCAATCTTACCATCATTTAGCATTGCTGAAAATGAGAGAGCTCTCAGCAGATCGTTTGCCAATAAATCTCACATAAAGTACGGCAGAAAAAGCAAAAAAACAGTAATTTTTCTTTTCCCATGCTCTTATTATCACGAACTCAATACCTGAGCTCAGCAAATCTGAAGCCTTTGTGGCATTTTTGCCATTACTCAATAACTCCCATTCAAAAGACCTTATAGCTCTATGTGTCAAGGAGGATCTGGTCTGCAACTTTTCAGCTGCTTCCTGACTGAATGCACTCAGATTTACCTAGAAGTCCATTGTGTGGTGTGAGGTGTGAAACCTGGCTTGGTAATGAGATGGGTACCTGGATTACGCTCATCTTAAATTCCAAATAGGAACTGCAACCTTCTTAACTAATTTGACGTGCCTTTCGTTGCAAGTTTAGGAAATTGGGAAGGACTAGAGTAGTCAAAGCAGTTTCATTTGCGGAATAATAGTGTTGGAGAGCATTACATAGGGTGAACACATTTCGGTGGCATAAACCTATTGGCCGCTCATAATTTATGGACGGCTCCTAAAACAATCAAAATAAAGTTAAGACCCTGAGCCATCTACCGTTGGCTCTCACTTTAATTTTATTGTGTATTTTTTTTTTTTTTTTTTTTTTTTTTTTTTTTTTTTTTTTTTTTTTTTTTTATAATTTATCAATTGTTTTTTGCTACTGCAGCAAAAATAGGGTTTTACGTTATAATTTGAAGTCTTAGATCAGTGGTGTCCCAGTTCTTTTCGAAGGTCAAGGTCAGAGGGCTGATGGTTGAAATTGGTAGACAAAGCAATAGACAGAGAAGACAATAAGGATATAGAGGGATCCTATTGGTAGAAGCGGATGGTTGCAATAGCCAAAGGAAGTAGGCACGGGACTAACTAACGGCAACCCATAAGAGACCCTTTAGTTAGTCAATCATTTTCTTGTGTTGTCTATAAGAAACACCCATTTCAACCAAAAGAATTGCTCTATACTCCTTATTTCTTCTTTTTCTATCGCTTTGTCTATCAATTGTAACAATCAACCCGCTGACCGATCTGTCATCTCAATGATTAAAATA